TCGTCCGGAAAGGTCAACATGGTTGAACTTCGTGGCCCTACCGAGCCCGAGGTCCTGGGGACTCATTGTGAAATGGTTGTCCCTCGCTGACAGGAATAAGAAACGGCACAAGTAGCCATTGTCTTCTCGGCCGATATCTTCTAGGCGATCTTTTTCCTCATAACCTACCTGCTGAAGCAGTCTCTTCTGTATTAGAAGCGGTTTCTCCGGAGCAGCTAAAACCCGAGATAAATTATGCTTTCTCAACACGATATGGTAGTTCTCGAGACCTTCGGTGACGAATGTCTTCTTAACGACTTGGGTCATAACGTCGGCAACGGTGGAGTTCAGCGGCATCTGTACGGTAGCAAAAGTACCATCGGCGCGGAATACCCGTATGCAGTGAGGATTCTGCTTCTCCTCAGGTTTTGGTGGGGCCCCGACTTCCTCAACTTCAGGGACATGAGTCTCTTTTTCCTCTGCATTACGACGGACAGCCCAGCTGTCTGGCGCGTTCCATGCCCCGGTTCCTTTGGCTTGAACTGGTTCCAACGGCTCGGTATCTGTCGGTAAGAACAAAGGCTCCATAGGTGTCAAAGGCGGAGGTTGTGCCAATATGCCCTCCATATCGTTCAGATTTGTATCAAGGACGAACACATTGCCCTTGTCATTCCTATCAGTTGGACCGATGTGTTCATCGGGATCGTCATAGATCTTATGCGGACGCCCCTTCTTCGAGAAGGGGAATTTATTATTGAAGGTCGCTTGTCGGGGGTTGGATGGGCGAGCCTGAGGGGTTGTAGTTTCCATAGGAAGGGGAGCTTTGTCATAAGGCGACTGATTCCCTTTCGATAAATCTTGCCGAGATGACGATGGCGCAAGCGAGCGAGAAGAGCCGGGCATGCTTCTTAAACGGGATGCTTGGCTATCTTCCTTGTGCTTGTGTCGTCGTAGCCGATCAAAGATACCCCGTTTTCCAGGAGCCCCAGGGGATGTTTGGCCATCGATAGATGCGAGTCTGCTGCCATTGCTATTGCTGCTTGGCGTGGGGCTTTGGGCCCGCGACCGCGGCGCAGTCACTGTAGAGCCGCCTCTTTCCTTCATATTTTGAATGTTTAGAGCCGAGTCTTCGCGACTGATAACCGGGCGCAATGTATTGGAGTCGTCGTTGCTCTTGTGGTGACGGTGATGACTAGACAAATGGACAATCGAGTGTCCAGAGCGAGAGGACGACGAAGTTTTCGGCGGTATCTGTGTAGAACTTTCCCCCGTGTAGCGTTCCCTGTCTGGCCCGGTCAGTATATCGCGAACCGGAGCTTCGCCGTATTTGGCGATGTCATTGGCCTCTTGGTATAAAAATGGCACTACATCGCTTGAAGGTACCGGCGTACGCGGTCGTGAGGAAGACGGTGAAGGCTCTCTGGTATGATCGGTAGCGTTCGAGTCGTTCCTCCCACGACGCGGTCGGTTGAAAGAGTAGGAACGTTGGTCTTTTTGATTTTGAGAGGGCGGAGGTGGTGCTGGCAGGCTAGTTTCGGATGAATCGCGACCTGGGAAATCCTCTCCGAAGAACCCCTGTAGTTTCTTAAGCCCCCCTCTACTGCCACTGTTTTTAGAGCCTTGACTGCTTGCTGTTGTTATACTAGCTGCTGAAGGTCGCCTATCGTCCGTGAAGTAGGCCGCATCGGGGGACTCATTGCTCGATGCCTGGGCAGGTCGCGAAGGGCCTAATCTAAAAGCAGGCGAAAGTTGAGAGGTAGTGGATACATTGTCGCTCGAATCATTGTAGAAGCTCGTCCCGAAACCAGTCGGAGACGTAGCCGCCCCACCGTTGACAGACATCCAAGGCGTGATATTATGCTGGGAATTCGGACTGGTTGGAGGATCTCGTTGGATTTGGGGAATACGACCGTTAGCTGGGTTAAGAACGGCAAGGTCGCGACGGTAGTCGGCAAGGTCGCTCATGCGGCGATTGTCGAGTAGTGAACTGCTAGATGCGGTCGAAGTCGGTGATAAAGCAAGGCGATGGCCAGAAGTTGTCGGTGAGACTTGAGAGTCTTCAGCATACGGTCTATATAATGTTTGAAACGCATACATGGTTAGCTTTCAGAAACTTTGCTGTTAATGACATGTTTGTAGACAAAGCGACTATTTCGCTACAGAGACAACAGTTGACTTGTTCCTCGGGACTTAATTTATCCTAACCAGGGACACTCGAGATATGCTTCGGATGAGATGTAACAAGGCCGATAGCTCCGCACATGATTCACTGTACCCAATCCGTATAGCGAAGAAAGAACCTAGTCATGACGTACCTGATTTTGCCATATTCGCTCGTCTTGATGGGTTTCGGCGTAGCTTTGGTCGAGGCTGAGGAGACCGAGGCTGAAGAGACCGAGACTGAGCGACTAGGAACGGATGGCTTCAACGTGATATTTGAGTGACCACTGCTGGAACTCGCGAAGGAGGTGATGCGGCCGTCATCTCGCGTCATTGTCATTGTCGCTCTCGCGCTGGTCCTCGCAGCTTTTCATCAATAGGACGGCGCCATCAAAGAGGGGTAGAGCAGAACATTTCCCTCTAGAGAGTTATGAGGTTTAAGTCGGCTTTGTATCGTGAAGCTAGGTAGGCATGTATGTATGTATGTATGAGGTTAGGTTAGGTAGGTATGTATGTATGAATGTATGTATATTCGTATCTAGGTAGGTATATGGAGATGGTAATCCAGAGTGCACGGAGAAGCGCAGCGTCTCCAAGTGCGCTAGAAAAAGCTGGCTGGTATTCAAGAAAAAGGATCTTGGTAAGAGGTAGGCGGACAAGCAAAGTAGAGGCGGGCTACTACATAGAGATGAAGAATGCGGTAAAGCCCAGAGCCAAGATTGAGGGCTGAAAAGGTTTTGGTTTTAGCAGATGCAGACTGGACGCAGACTGGACGCAGACTGAATGCAACAAGGTCTTGCACAGGGCGAAGTTGAAGGCAGGGCAGGTGCTACTACAACTTACAAGTGGGGAGAATACCTACCTAAACCAGGGTACTAATTGCTGCTACTGTCGGGTAAGTTTGTCAGTGTCAGAATTGAACTAAAAGTAGGTTCGGGTGGTACGTGCAGTGCAACAGCGGGCACAACCTTCGGTATAAAGCCGGTGTATGAGGGAGCAGCTACGCCTCTGAACCACTGAACGTCTTGCCCGCTCAAGGTCCGCTCAAGGGAGGCCTATCGATTAAACCAGTGGGGTAAGATCTTTTTTTGGTAATTAAAGAATTCCCAGGCTCAACATTGCCAGTTCCTAATCCGTGCTTGTCGCGCATATTCAACCCTCAATAGTCGTCTTAGTCTTATTATTGTTAATTATTAAATCTTATTATTAAATGGCTTCGATTCAAGGACAGGTTCCTACCACGTAAGGCAATACTGAAATTGAAACTACACTAGGCGAAGTCATGGATTCCATGATAATGATTGCGCTAGTCACGTAGGACTTCAATGGCTGAATATACCTAATACGATCTATCAGTATGCATACGATAGATGCTGGGATTCCGTCTCTACTATTGAGACAATCCGTCCGATTCCCTTTCTTTCCTGTTTTTTTTTTTTTTTTTTTTTTTTTTTTTTCCTCGTATTTCGTATTTCTATTTAAGTCGGCCTCCTCGAAGTGTAAACAAGTTCATCTGAAATGTATACACTGCGTAATCGAGCCCGTAATGTCCAATAATTTGTAAATACGCCCAACGTTTATTAGTTAGCCCCCGATCACACCATTTTACATACATGTACATTGGAAGTAAGCCTGCGTTGAGAACTCAATACCACTTACGGATACCGAATCTCACCATATACATATAAGCAGGTATACATAATTCGCCTCTGCCTCTATGTGTATATATATATATATATATACCTACCTAAGGTATATATATATGTCAACAAATCAGATAAACCTGTTTCCGAACCGATTTATTTTCGACTTGGCAACAGAGTCATACCTTAGTGTTACCGCTCTTCCGTAGATCAGGCTACGATGATTATTTCATTACTATGTAAGTATGACTCGAGCAGAGAAGCCCGTGACTCGAGATATGAGGCTCATTGCTTATTTAAATTTACGGGTATCAATGTTAAATATATACTTGCAAATAAGATCTCCACCTTAACAGAGGTACTGAATAGTATATGTTAAGTTAGAGTACCGCTACATCTTGCTGCCCTGTCCTAAGGCGTCGGTGAGGTGAAAAGCCAAAAATGCGGGTTTAAATGGCTTTGACTATTATATGATCTCTGCGCCATCTGCTAACATCCGCAAAACCGGGTTAGTTCAACTCCACAGACGTCGGCATCCCTTGACCCCCAGACGAAGTTTTAGCGCCGCTCCAGAACATTATCCTTGTACGGAATAATAAGCGCCAGATGCAGTCAAATATCGGATGAAGATGCTCACTTCATCGAGTACCGTAATATTTCCACGCCAATATCAGCAGTTAAATATTTCCGTTCTGATATAGTTTAAATCGAAGCGAGCTTGATATATTAAGATAAGTGTTTAGGATAATGTTCAGGATGAAAAGTCGACTTGTCACTCCACGCTATAATCTAAGATGGGAGAAAGGAAATTGGATTCGTCTTTGTGCTCTGTCTTCCATGGGGCACTACCCCCCAGGGACTGGACCGGCATCTCCCCCACGACCCGGACCAACTCGCAGGAGGCTTGTCAAGTCACAAGCGATGCTCGAGTCAACGTGTATCAACGTGTATTAATTGATAGGTTACTCGGTACGCAACAATGTCACTTACATATGTACAATAACCAAGCCGGACCGACAGTCTGCATGTTGTATGCTGCCGCAAGTTCCCGCGCTCGCACATGCATGCATGTATGTACTTGATCTCAATGCGTATATATTTGATCAGTCTTCTATATCATCAATTTGGTCTACTTGATCCACTATAATAACAAATGGTTGATAAAGTTTATTAGAATGCCATGGTATTGCCTAACTAGATGTATGGACATACTATGCGCTTAGCACCAATACGTATCATAATATTATGTTCTATGTTCTATCCCAAGACGATCTCACAATCAATGGGTTAAAGGGGTGTTCAAAAAGCTATGAACTACCTATCACTCTAAAAAGATGAGCTTACCAAAAGTCTGTAAACCGATAATTTGCACGCGTATTTGATTTTGGGACACCGGGATAACGATCTATACAATTAAATTTGACAAACGACAGAATGATTTCTTTAGCATTTGCTGCACGATCTACATATGCTAACATGTAGTGCCTAAAGAGCTAATGCGCATAATAACATTAGCCCAATCAGAGCTTTTGATATATAGAAGATCGGGCTGCAGTGTGACAGCCCTAATCGTCTACATTTAGATGAACGCATATGCTTATTTATCGTACTGTGATTACCTCTTCTCAACGTAGGTTTTCCAGTTCTTTGGATCCTACTATCATATTTCCTCTTCATCACTAATGCCGGCAATAACATCACCAGTGTCTTCATATAAGAGCTCTCCGACATCGATACTTTCCAGCATGATATCCCGCGCCTTTTCCTCCGCAATGTCCAGGTCCTCCATGATCAGGCGGACTGCTAACTCGGGCACCAACACTGCCTGGACATATCCTGTATAACCTCTGGCGGAAACGAGTCTGTCTTCAACTGCACGCTTTCGAATAACTGACGATAAAGTCCGCAGGATATACTCAGTCATAACGCGGAGCCCATGCGGCCCATAGTAGCCTGGTGTAAGGCTGTCGTCGGTCTTGAGCAACGTTCGATTCTTTCCCGCTTCGACGTTCTCTCGTAATAGCTCGCGATAGTGTGATTGTCGAGTACCTTCCAAGATTTCTTTCAATAAACCTTGGTACATGTCTAATCGTGTATTAAGCTTCTCCCAATTAATCTTGGGATATCCTTTCCGAGCTCCAGAATCCAACGCTGCCCGCCGCTTGTGCAATCTGCAGAATGCTGCCTGTTTCTTTATGTTCATTCTGCCGTGATCTGAATGCTTCGCCAGAAGCTCGGCGTCGACTACTTCATGACACATAGGACACCTCGCCGTGATAGCTAGTGGGCTTTGTATACTGACATCGCCTGCTTCGTCATCGGAACCTTTACTCCCAAACACGTCAGGGACCATATCGTCGCTGTCGGCTAGGTCGTCAAGATCATCTAAAGCATGCAGCTTAAAAGCTGGTCTCTGAGAGAATTCATCTACCGCAGGTTCGTGGAGGGATTTTCGTTTTTTATTTTTAGATCTCATCGACTTTTTTATCCTACCAGGCGGCAAAGTTGGCTTTGCTTCTACTGCTGCATTTGATTCTTCTGGACCAAGCTTTTTGGGTTTGCTCTTCGATAGTGATTCATCTGACGATAAACTGCCACGTCTAAATATGGGTTTCTTGGTGTCTCGACTTGGACTAGAACCTGACAAGGATGAAGGTTTGATGAAAGCTTTAGAGGGCTTTGTCTTCTCTGGGCTGATACTCTCGGGTTTTATAAACCGCCTCGCTGGAGGTGACCGAATACCTTCGGGGCTTGGACTGGTTTTAAACGGCCTAAATGATTTGCGTGAGTCATCTAGTAGTTTAAGAAAACCTTTCGTTAGTAATAGATATGGCGAGCGAGGTGCATAGACTGACTCTCAAGTTGTGATACTGAAGATTTAGGTCCGGATTTTTGTGATGCTCTCCTCTGTGAAGGTCCAGGCTGAGAAGATCTACTGCCATAAGTTTTGACACGCCTGGCGATAGTTGGCTTATTCTTCTTATTTCTCAAAATGTCATACTCATTCGTGAAGTGATTGCCCGCCTCTAGAGCAACATCTTCAGATGATCTCTTTGAACCAGCCGAGCTAGAAGGCCCACCCTTTTGCGAGCTACTAAAAATCGTGGGCTTTATATCTTTGTATCGGCTATCATTGTTGTCAGAATCAGAGTCGTGCAAGCTATTGTGATCGCTTTGGCGTTGTCGATAATCCTCCTCTTCATCACTACTTTGAGGTGGTGCAGTGATGGATTCTGGTTCTCGATTCTTTCCAAGTCTATTCATGTTTGAAGCGGGTATTTTGCTTCTGACATTGTTAGATTCAGGTCTAGGAGGTCTAGTTTCTTGATTTCCAATAATGCTCAAAAGACGAGCCGTGTTCTGGGTGCGGCTTAGTCCGACACGCCGTGTTGGTATAATAATCGGCATTGAAACTTCTTTGACTTTTATTACCGGAACCAAGCAGGGTGCGGATATACCAAGCACAAACAAGATGCAATATGACTGATTGTCTTGCGCCAAGGAACATGTACCCAGACGATTGTTGAGGCAATGATTGAGGGTGAAGAGTAAGAGTCTTACTTAGTAAGGTGAGAAAAGCACAGCTGAAGAGAAAGTGTGCTTGATGTGCCTCATGCATTAGATGCCTAAGGAATTGCTTTAATAAGGCAAATAAGCTGTTAGTAACTTTAGGTAAGGAAACAAGATAACCATAAGGAGTACTTGGAATAAACGCACTGGTAATTAATCACGGACGCTTCTGTATCTCCATGCGTCATGTGTGTTTTAATGGATTAACATTTTAATTGATTAGCATGAGCTGGAGACGTTACCCATACATAGCAATTTTGGTGACGGTTATGTACCTCAAAGTACATACCGGTAGTGCAAGAACGACGCGTTGCAAGACGCGTTGGAGGGCAGGAACCTTTATGCAGGTGGTAATACATAAGCCACAAATCCAGCCACATGTCCTTTACCTGAAGGTACATCTACCTCTAAGAGCCCTGAGTTCATGTATGCCTTACCGCTCCAGGGGGGTCCCTGAATATGCTTACAGCGATTATATCATATCCCGGAAATCCTTTCAAATGAGCATGTTAAAAAAACATTAATTAATTAAATATATATTTGTTTTATACATAATTTTAAAAATTAAACATGGGTTTATATACATAATATGTTTTTAAATTATAATTATTTTAAATTAAAATCATTTTAAAAATGTAATATATTTAAATAATGTTTACGTAAACGGGGATAAAATAAAAAAAATAAAAAATAAAAATAAAAAATTTAACCGAAATTAACTGTTTTTATAAAAACTTAAACGTATAATTTTAAAGTTTATTATTAAAATTAACATATAAATCATTTTAATTAAAATAAATAATTAAACCATTTAATTAAATTAATTAAATAAATGATTATATAAAAATTTTCGATTTTTTTTTATATAAACTTTATTTACATATATAATATTTTTTTAACGAAAATTAAGTTTAAAATGATTTTAAATTTTAAAATAATTTTAAATTTTAAAATAATTTTAAAAATTAAAATAATTATATATATATAATTATTATATTATATAAAATAATTACATAATAATATAATTTTATATTTAAATATAATTTTATATTTAATATAATAATAATAATTATTTTTAAATAATAAAATATTTTTATTTTTTTAAATTTTTATATATATATTTTCATCAATAAAATTATTGCCGTAAGCATTTTCGGGGACCCCCCCAGCGCGCTAAGGTGTACTTATGGGTACGTATCCGTACTCCCATCCCAATTCAGGTACCTAGGTACCTGTAACCTTCTTTCACATTGGCTTTCGTTGTTTGTATTTGAACTATGTTCTACAGCTCTCCTTAACAACAAGCTACATAGGAAACTTGGCCTCTTGGAATCTGCGAAAAATCCCAACTTTCGATATGGCATTAAATCGAAAGTATGCCGCATTACCAGATCTAGTATGTTCAAGTACTTGAGATTTGCCTATGCATTGTACTAACCAACATCTAGGACTCTGCGCCTGATATTTATGAGACTCCCGAGTTGACGGACGACAATTCTACTGTACCTGTAAGGATATATTGATACTCCTAGTAGAACGCATATCATTCTAAACGCCCCCCTCAGACTACTGCAGGTCGGTCGCAGTCGGACAACGAATTCGACGAAGATGACGACGACGATATCCACGAAATCTCGCATTCGCGACTCCGAATAGATCAAGCTCGATCTCGATTCTTACCTGCACAGGTTGACGCTCGAGACGTGGATTTCTCTGATCGGCTGAATGGAAAGCGGAAATCATATAAGACCTCCAGTCGAAGACAACGAATCCTCGAAGACGGTACTAAACAGATCGGCGATTTGAGTGACGAAGAGGGAGGTGAGGATCTACAGAGAAAGATCGCACGGCTAAAGCGCGAGATTGAGGAAGCTAAGGAAGAGTATGGTAAACGAAAGTCCGAGTCGGCGGAGGCAATACCAGACCAAGATATAGACCTCGTCTCACTAAGCCAAGCATTGGAGGAGATTTCGACTGTTCCAGAAAGAGCAATAGCGACTAGAGATCACCCAACAACGGTCACCAGCAAGCAATCGAAGGGCGAGAGTCAAATATCAACCCAGTCACCATTAGACGAGGCAACATACACCGTCACCTACGCGCCGAGTTATGAACAGAGCCACGCCCTCGCCAAAGCTGCTGACTTCGATCGGCGACTGGTATTACTCGAGAAAGCTATTGGTATTACTTCCTCGGCTATGCCCGAACTAGAAGGCAAAGGCCTACACCGAGCTATCGTGCCTACTCTAGAAACGCTCCAGAACCAGATTTTGACGTTATCGGAAGCGTCTACTTCATCCCTCGACAGCATTAGTCGCCGGGTACGAACGTTGACTCAAGAAGCTGAGCAATTGGAGAAGTCGAGGAAGGCAGCTAAGGCTGCCCAGGATTCCCTTGCCTCTTCGGGTGGTTCTCCGATTGAAGCAGATGATTCAGAACAAATAGCCAAGATAAACGCTCTCTATGGGACACTACCAACTATCGAAAGCTTAGCGCCTCTTCTACCTCCACTACTAGACAGACTCCGCTCACTGAGAGCTATCCATGCCGATGCAGCGACAGCTAATGAGACGCTCGAGCGTATCGAAAGATCGCAGAGCGAAATGGCTGCCGACATCAAGCAGTGGAGAGAAGGTCTAGAGAAGATAGAAACAGTTATGGGTGAAGGGGGCGCAACTATGACGGCTAATATGAAAGTGGTAGAAGGGTGGGTAAAGGATCTAGAAGCCAAAGTAGCTGGGTTGTCGTGATAGTGGTGATACTATCGTATCTACTTGTGATTTACGTCAGCCCTGATACCCTATTGCGAAGCATAACACCTTTAACCTTCTGAGAGAAGGACAAGTAAAGAGTGGAGTGATACAATAATATACCTATGAATATCATGCTACGATCTCATGTCAAAAAGTCCCCTATTTCTCATGCAACAGGTAGAGTTAACTTTTATTATGCATCTAAAAGAGGAACGATATATGATAAAAAAGGATACGCATTTATGAGAGAGTTGTGCCATTATCGATAATACGAGTACGTACCAACATGGTCCATGCGTTATGAAAAAAAGCCCTACCCACAACTAAGAACGGCTTAAGCGAGACTACAACTTCTTGAACTAATCAAAATTCCTACCAACTTTTGACAAATTTCCATATCCCGCGACCAGGCAGCAAACCCCTTGCAAAACTTCAATCACAAGTACGAAAAGCATTCCCGAACCCATTTGCGAAACCTCAGCCCTAATCAAACCACTCAGATTGCAAATATGGAGTCCTCTAAGCAGCCCGTCAAGCTTGTCAAGGTCACCCGCGTCCTGGGCCGAACCGGTACGATCCCCTCATCGCATTCTCGCAGCCCGGAATATGCGACATTGCAGATTGAAACGAGCAGGAGCTGACGGATATAGGTTCTCGTGGTGGCGTTACCCAAGTTCGTGTCGAATTCATGGACGACCAGACCCGAAGCATCATCCGAAACGTCAAGGGACCAGGTGCGAACCCACGAAATTTCCTTGATTTCTACAGCCGCGCGATTCGACGGTAACTAACTAGATGACTATTTAGTTCGTGAGGACGACATTCTCTGCCTACTCGAGTCTGAGCGTGAAGCCCGACGATTACGATAAGAATGGAATTTCCTTTGGGAGGAGTTGCGAGTATGAAGGGACAGGGTTTTACTGCTAGCTTACGATCAGACTACGGTCGAAGATCAGTAGCATCATACAGGATTCGCGGTCAAGATTCCTTTTGTTACAGGAGTCGTCGCCGGACTATGATGGGCATTCTGCATTGCGAATAAAGCACGATTCATACCCCGACCAATACACTTCGCGTGATACGGCTACATGATTGTCTTTGAATTGATATTCCTCATTTCTGCAATCTAAATATCCTATTTTAAGCTTAGGGACTTCAAGGTCGCCAACCAGTACCGATAACAGAAGCTATCGCATGAAGAAAACTGATAAACTTACATGTACAGGACACTAACTATATCGCTTACTAATCCATGACACTAGCGTCCAAAACTTTTTATTTTTCCTGCGACTAGCTTCAAAAGCTGCAATTCTTTTTCTCCTCTCTCTTCCTTCTTCAACTTCACTTTCTCAACTCGGGTAACCAAAGATTAGCCCATTCCATTGACATATGGTAAGCCATTTCCTTTTTCAAGCTTTACTCACGTTGTATGATGCATACAAATAGCATGTATTAACTGATCATCACTGATGTTCTACCATATCACCAAGATCTCTGAATCAACACCCATTCACTCCTTCTTGTTACAATCTCTATTAGAAATATAGTAACTAACAAGAATCTCAAAGATAGTCGATGTTTCGTCCTAGACCCAATTAGATTTCGCAATGGGTGCCGTTCCCAAACCGCCGAAAGGCCATTTCAACATCCTCTACTTCGCAAGTGCAAGTTCTTTCACCTCGAAAGAATTCGATACATTACCTGCACCACTTTCTCTGCAGAAATTGTTCGATGTGTTAGAAGAGAAATATAGTGGTATCAAAGACAAAGTTCTTAGTTCGTGCTTGGTGACAGTCAATCTTAATTACGTCGACATCCCAGAGTCTGGCGATGAATCTGCCGAAACTCTGATCAAGGAGGGTGACGAGGTCGCTATTATTCCCCCAGTCAGCTCTGGTTGAAAAGTGCAAGTGAAGACCAAATTCGATATCAGATCATTATCTATAGATTTTGTTTCCCTGTGACCTAGCTATGCTCTTGTATACACACTCAGGACGGTAGCAATGGCTCCTGCTCGCGACTTGATTCCCGAACTTCCGTACCGGGTTGATCTCCAATCCTCATACGAAGCCACTGTTGCCGAAGTTCGTTCCAACACCTCCAGTCGTATTTCCATATCTTCCACCAGCTCGGGTTCTTCTTACTATATCCCTTAAGCCTCCGGATCCCAAACACCACCAATGTGACGAGTAGCACGAAGACAAGCGTTGATGCGATAGAAACAAGCGAAGTCAGCGTGGTGATAGTCGAGACCCGGCAGCCGAGCGGCCGAGTGCGAATTTCCCACCGCTCAGCCCAGTGCGGACATACGTTCTTGTCCCATGCCGGCGCGAGCAATTGGATCCGGTTCGAGTTGGGAACGCATGTCCAGGACTACGGGTATATATGTATATACGTTAGACAAGATTTAGTCCTACTGAAATATCTAAACCGCCCATGGACTTCCTACATATGAAGAACAGCACACGTACGAATGGACACCAACTGCAGTCCGACTCCTTCTTTAGACAGTCCTTGCAGTTCTGGATCCTCCAGCACCGCTGTAGATGCGCATCATCCGTTGGGTTACCCGCGCTTAAAGAGACGTTCATAGTAGACGATGCGGTCAATTAGTTACCCAAAGGTAGTTGTGCCTATAAGGAACTAAATTACTACCTAATGTTAAAGATAGCATTTGGCTGATAAGAGAAACGAATCATTACATCGAATCAAGGTTCTCTTTTGCGCTGTAAAGTACATATAAATGCATACAATACCTAGAGTTTTGTTTGAGATGCGATCATCCATTTGAACAGTCTGTCTGCATTAATCCAATGCGGGGAAGTATTTAACAGCCCACCTTCGGCGGCACGGCCAGTCTTTCGAAGCGTTAGATAGAGAGAAGATGCAGATATCTAAAATATAGGTAGAGACAAATAGACAACGTACTCTCGTAGATTCCTGACCGAATACCACTATGAATTAGATAGATACCTCTACCTTACATACAGATACTCAAGTAGGTAAGAAGTCACACGAGCAGTAGCGTGGACCTATATTCTGGCATCTAGCATCTAGCATCTGGTATCTAGTATCGAGTATCTTGTCTCATTCTCTACCTAAGTAGTATGCCGCGTCTATGCTATAGAACTCTCGAGATGCAAAATCTCGCACCATATCGTATCGTGTCGTTATCGCAGAAAGTGGTACGTCGCTTCATACGAACGTTATTTACCAACCGAATCACCCGCACTCTTCTTCCCGTGCGTCGTGAGCTGATTCCCCTTAGTCAAATCTCAAAACGAAAACGCCTCGTGCCAACTCCTCAATTTCAGGATATCCATTTGCGGTGTGTACGAGGCTGTATTATGGGGTGTTCTTTTCCCTTCTCCTTCCGTACTGCTCGCCGTCCTAGGCTAGTTGTATAGAAGATCTGACCGATACTCAATCCAGGATTAATGCCTCAGACATATCAGCCTTCAACGGCTACCATCGTCGTGCAATATGATGGCGAGGCGCACTCTATGCGACATTCGCAAGCTGCATCAATCGCTCTCCGGCTTTCTGATTGGAATACTCGTATGCCTTGGAGCCGGGCGGGAAGGTACCGTTGGCCGCCCATAGGTCAATCAACGGTTGCATGGGCTCTAACTCTTGGGGCTTCAGCATGTCCAGCGCGCAGGCTGTCAGCACAAAGTGGCTGAAGCAGCTGTTCAACTGCTTTTCGAGGTTCAAGTGGTAGAACGGGTCGATGAAGTGCGCCCAATACAGATGAGCATATACCCGGAACATCTGTCTAAAGATGGTCTGGCAAACTTCCAAGAAGTTCTCGGGGAACCCACTGGGCTTTCCAAGCCAATCTTTGTCTTCAGGGTTGGATAGTTGCGAGAGCGGCGTCGTGGTGATGGATGGGTTATGCGCATAAGAGACGCCGTTGGTATCAGTAGGGAAAATATTCGTGTCGTCGATCTTTCCAGATATCCACCGCTGCATAAGCGTGATATACTCGTAGGCCGGCAACTCGACGGGCTCCCGCTTGTAGTTCAGCCATGTGAAAGAATGGTTCCTATATCCCGAGTTAGATACGCCAAACCATTGACCACTTTTATGGATGTTCTACTCACGCGCCAGCGGACATCCGAGGGCAAGTTTGGGGATTACAGATCGTATTGCCATCTTCTTCTTTTTCATGGATCACTCGTACGAAGTTCCAAAGGTTGCGGTAATGCTCGACCACTGCAATACGTTAAAATCTTTCCGGCCAAGTTCATGAAGGACATAACATCAAAGCTATTATTTACCTTGATGAGCAATCCACTCCCCCTGTTCCACGGTCTTCGGGCGGGCACTCAAGGTCATGAAGTTACCCTTCACGATATGCTTCGCGTATTGTGCATTGAGCCATAGGGGCAGGGGTCGAGGCAGGTGATAAACACCAAGAACATCGTCGCCATTGGCTCCTGCGTTGCCGGAATCATCCATGCCGATATTCTGAGCTAAGGATGGTGAGCTAGGAAGTGGAGGGATCTTTGGTGCTAGGCTAATGGGTGACTGGCTGCCTTGGGAGAGACTGGTGGGAGAGATGGGTTGACCGCTGCTGGTTTGAACGGGGCTCTTATTCTGACCTTGGGCTTTGCCCGAAGTCCCTCTCAATCGAGCGTTTCTGAAGGTGGGAAGTTAGCAACTATCAACTATTCCTTTGTTGTGCGTCCGGTGCCCTTATATGGAGCTGACAAGAGACAGTGGGGAAGAACCAATGAGCAGCGTGAGGCGCCCCGGCCTTATATATATAAATTTTGGTGGGTTAGGTAGGGGAAGGCCAGCTTTGACTTCATGATTCTCAGTCACTTATCCAACCTGAGAACCCGATAAGCCGACAAGCAAATATGAAACCGAGACAACGGTAATAGTAAGGATAGTAAGGATAGTAAGGATAGTAAGGATAGTAAGGATAGTAAGGATAATAAAGGGTACCGGTAGTAGAAGAATAGCACTTGCATATAATAGACCCATAGTAAGAGTCCAGGCTGCTACTTGCTCCATTCTGAAATGGTTTTGTATTGGGAACCAACATCCCAGGATGCTTTGCTGGCGCCTTTAGTCTTTCCCCATCTACCCATCTAAGGGGGGAAAGGGAATAGGGAATAGGGAATAGGTGAAGACATAGGTCAAGATTCTTTTTTTGGAGCAGGGGCTAAATTACCCACGATAGCTTTTTGGCTCTTTGGCTCTTTGGCTCGTACGAGCTTTAAAAGTCCGTCTCACAAAACAACTTTGTGTGGGTTTTTTTTATGAATAAAAAGTTGCGCTGCTTGTACCCAACTTTGCACTGTGTTGGATGCTTTCAATATTCCCAGAACCATGGCTTCACGTTATGAACCAACCCCCCGTTGTTGGGTATGCATCATACCGACTCTTGTCTTACAAGATGTTAAGATTTGCATGGGTGATAGGTGATAGGTTGGTTTCTGGGGAGTCGACGTGCAGCATAGAAAGACCATCATAAACAGCTGGCTTAGGTATGTCCAAGTGACGTATGCGAGGCTGTACAAGCCGAGCTGAATATGTACATTGTGATAAGAGACAGCCAATTTCTTTTGGCCAGGGTACATTCATAATAATAATAAATGAATAACACCCTAGAAAATGTCCCTAAAATCAAAATGGCTGGGCCTCTGCACGTGGCCTTCTTGTTTGGTAGCTCATAAGTTGCCATACGTGAGTTTGGAGATAGTATGGTCCTTAAAGGGATGATCCTTAAAGGGGGTAGGGTATTTAAAGAAATAAAAAGACAGAAAAGAGATAGAAAAATAAAATATTATACACTTACATCCCAGAAAATAGATTAGACATGATCACTTGAGAACCGCCACGTCAGGTACCGGTATATCGCAAGTATAATAGAGGCAACGGGGCCTGTCGGCGACACACGAGAAGATGAAAATAGTGAACAGCAGAGTTTCTAGTTTGGATAGAAAAATAAGGGAATCGCCGACCGAGGACGCAATAAAAGAATCGACGAGGCTTCGCGAGGAAAAGGGGCGGAAGGGATGTAACAGTGACTTTGCGATGTGTGGAAGTTTGTTCAATTCACCCAATGATATTTTAACGTCTCGAGCTGTTTCAGGAGGCGCTCGTCTACATACCGCCCAACGCTAGTCTCTTTTAGCTGCATCATCTTTATCGATATCAAAATCTCTTATCGACTCTGGAAGGTAAAGCACGGACTGAGGTACCACTTGGCAGCTACATACCAAGTACGGATTATTGTGTGTATCTTTACAGTGCGGGTGAGCAACCTATAGAAGTCTTGTCTTAGGTACCTTACTTTTAGGTACTTCACTTTATGTAACTACTTCAATTTCATCCATCTTATTATCAAATCGCGACTCCATCAAACACCCTTCGTACCTCGACGTGATTCTCCCAAGTCTTCCAATTGCATTATTCCACATCCAAAGAACCTCCTCACACCCTTCAGACAAACCCATACTACCGCCAAGTACACCAACCCTTACCATGTCCGATTCCGAGGATGGGGGTGACCTCTTCGGCGACGAGGGCGAAGTTCCGTTTATAGATCAAGTGCTTAGTGATCAAGATCTTGCTTCGGAACAAGATGAAGGTGATGAACGCGATGACGACCGCGACCATGACCGTAGCCGCGACCGAGATGACGATGCGGATGAGGATCAAGAGGTCAAGGTAAAACGCATCATGGGTGTCACACTTCATCGACACAGGATTCCACGAACCTCTAAGGATGGTACTGGTTCTGTATGTCTACTTCATCTTGATTGCAATTGTAGAGCAACCCTAACCAATTCTAGCTACAAACGATGAAAGTTCCCTCCTTCATCAAGCTACAAGCTGAAGAATACAAGCCCGACGCGTTCGAGCCGACCGAATGGGACATACAGAATGCGCGCTCCGAACAGCGCAAGAATGCTGTCCGCTTCCAACGGGACCCCGAGACCGGCGAGCTTAAGAGCAACGCTGTTATATATCGTTGGAGTGATGGATCCCTCACCATGTCTGTTGGGGCAGACCACTACGAGATACAGAAGAAGGCAATGGCGCCCGCGGCTGACAAGCCATATTACGAAGAGCGCGACGACGCCCACTACTACGTCGCAGCAGCACATTTTACGAGCGAGCTGTTCATGACTGTGGGCCACGTTTCCGAACAATACTCCGTGAAGCTTCCCTCGAACCTGAAGGACGAGGCTCTACTCAAGTTCAGCCGTGACATGGAAGCCGCCCAGCGCGCCAGAAGACAAGGTAGTGATATGATTATCACAACTACGAAAGATCCCGAGCTTCAGAAGAAAGAAGCAGAGCTGGCCGAGAAAGAGCGCATGAAAGCACAGCGACGACGGGAGAATGCAGCCGCGCGACTTGATGGACGAGCTGGAGGCTACAGGAGCGGAGGACTTTCGATTGGCGACCTAGAGGGTGGCCGCAGAACTGGTGGCTCTCGAAAGAGAGGTGCGCCGGGCTCAGGAAAGGGCAAGCGACGCCGACCAGAATATGATTCCGATGATGACTTCCCGTCAGGTGGAGGTCGCCAGAATGAGTATGATCGCGAGGATGACTTCATCGCCCCTAGTGATGACGAGGAAGAAGCAAACGAGGATGACGAAGATGAGGAAGATCTTTTAGATGATGAGGAGGAGGAAGAGGCTCCCCGAAAGAAGCGCCAGAGGACGGCTGATGCTGAAGATGCTGATGCCGACGCGGATGCTGACCTGGATGACGTGGATGCGCCAGCCGAGTCTTCCCACCGGCGAAGACGCCATATCATTGCCGAGGACGAGGATGACGAATAGATTCAGGTTTAAGAGTTTAATGCGTTGGACATGATGAGTCCCTACGTTTGTATGATACTCGGTGTTCTTATACACCTATAGTACTTTCTTGCACGCGACAGTTGCGATTTTAGCACGTGCAGAAGAACTCGATAGCTCAGAAACTTAATTAAGGTCATGGAATAGCCTATTCTATACTAATGCAATATCACAATGCTTCGTGGGCTAAGATAGCTAGACAGCATACGGTATCGTAGTCACAGCAGGGTTACTCTGCCGTATATATTACACTACCTAACTCACTATGCACTTTATACCTCACTATACATACTTATGAAGATCATATCCCCCACCTACTTCTTTCAACGTAGTATATATCATATACAGTTATATCTTCTCTACGAAGAGCTCATCCAACATCTCAGGTATGGCAATAGCTGCAGAGCCAATTCCATAATTCAACTATTATAAGCGAGCCAAGGCCATAGTCCAATAAGCTTCACTAAAAGAAGCAACCCCTAAGCGGTGGTAATCCCGAGTTGTAGTAGCGTCCTAGTTATAAATTGAGAAAACTAGCATTCATATAGAGCCCTAAAGAGGAATATATGTATCTATAAGGCATAGCAGACTAACTACAGCTGAAAACTCAGCGGCAAACGATACATCGCAGCCATTAGAGTCACTATCCGCATGCTGTCGTAACCCAGTCATCATGTTGAAGGTATTACGATCTAGCTTGTTTGCTACATGCTACTACTCCGGCATGGTCAAAGTTAGACAAACCTATAGCTATCGTGTAGCGACTGGTCCTGTTGCCGCCACCACTCCTTTATAGCCGTCGACATACCTAAACCAAGATTTACAGATATGGTATCAAACCGGGCTGGTCGTTATGATATTGAGTGTATTCGTAGCTTGCATAGTGTAGTACACCTGTCAAACCAACCTACCAAAGACAGTCATTGTAGGAAATCAATTTCGCTACGTAAGGTCAAAGGTAAATATAGGTCAACCCTAATAGCATCCGATGTTAGTTCGTCTAAGAGGAATACAGAAACTACTAATTTATATTGCTACGTCTACGCCGCAGCTTTAGACTAATTAGTAGGCTTTCAGCGTAGGTACAAATCTCTTTGGTATATTGGGATAGCTACCTACCAAATTTAAGAACCACTTACCATTGGAAGGATAACGTAGGTCACCACCTGCCTCAGCTATAGGCGCTGTAGGTTACTGATAGTGGTCTTCTTTACTATAATAGAGAAAACTACGACGTCGAAAACAATTAGCTCTTCGTTGAGGATGTGGTCCATAGTACTAGTTACGAAGGCTAATATAGGGAAAGAGAATGAGGTGGGAAATGTAGTGGACCGCGCTTGGTTTCTTACCTAAAACATATCATCATGCAACAAAATAACCATAACAACGTTATGAGACTATCTCACCCTTATTTTATATTATTTCCCTAGGGAATCTTAAAGTATGCTTATAGATTAGTTACACCTTTAGCCTAACACTAGTAAGAAGACATAAGCCGATTATAGTAGTGGAAGCTTTTAGACGTTAGGATGCATAAGCAGTGTTAAAAATGAAGGTTTTATACGACCAGTAGTATACCTAAACTATACTACGGTAAGGCATGAAACAAGCGATACTGATACCTCTAGGTTTAAAAGAGTTTTCTTTTTCTTTTTCTTTTTCTTTATAACTTAGTACCACTGAAATTTATCCACTGATACTATCTTAAAGATTTAGCCAACCTGAATCTCCTTTAACTTTACGAAGCTTTACTGGTAATAATCTTGCAAATTTCATATCTGGTATATGTCTTCAACAACTTTTACAAAGAATGAGACAACGCCTCACTAATGCTTTCCTTCTTACCTTGGGTTAGGTACATTAAGGGTGACTTATACCCCGTTGGCCTGAAATGATGACCAAAATAAAAGGGGCTTTATTGAGAGACTAGAAAGTGTTATTGGGATACTAATGCCTTGTGTTCATTGATTTTAGAATATTATAAGATGGCTAAGTTTCTAAATTGTTAACATTAACTTTTGGTTGTCTATTGTCTAAGTGAGAATAAGGAAGCCATTTCTAAAAGCTTGACAGGTGACACCAGCTGTAAGAGTACATATAGCGGGAGCTCGGAGCTTTCTCTTTCACATGCAAGTTTATAAGCACCGGTTCCCCGATTTAAAGCATATGAACTTTAGTCCTACCTCTAGCTCGGCCCCGGCGCGTTGTACATTAGGTACCTTGTGTATCTACATATACATAACCTATGCTGATATGTAAAACCTTAGAAGTCAATTAGATGCGCAACATTTATTCCAACTGCAAATGTTGGTCACTCTCGTCCATTTCTCAGCTTTTACGGACCTGATCTACGCGCCTGCGCTCTCGCCCTTGCTGACGCCGTCGATTTTCCCCTACCGATGATTCCGGCCGACGCGAATGGTATGAGAGGATGCAGCCAATTTTCGGGGTGTCCCTAGCTGTGTTTTCCCTATTGCTGGAGGTCTTTTTATTTTGGTATAGAGTGAGTATCTAGTTGTGATAGCGATAATACGAGGTGAACTGCACTTAAGCTTACATAGTTCCTCTTATGCTAGAAACTCTGGGGAAGATGGACGTCGAAAAGCCCGATGGACGAACGACTCGATGCTCTGCGCAATGCTGTGACATACGAAGATTGGGAACACGCAGCATTGCAGTTGGATAATCTTAAGGAATTGAATATTTGGTATGGTATAGCAATCTGAAGTATATCCGAGGAATACTAACAAGGAGGACGTCCTCTTGTAGGCGCAACAACCCCCCGTCGCATTACTACGATTGGATGCTCATCAACGATCGTCTCGATACTATCGCCGAGGCTCGTGATAATAATGACTTACAGTCTCTCCTCGATCTCGTACGATCTGGCCTGGTTCGAAACCTCGGAAATATCACAGCCCCAAGGTTGTATAACCGCGCCTTTGCCGGAACCAAATATCTGATTGAAGAATACATTGCGCAAGTCGCTGGTGCCATTGACGACATCAATCATCGTGTCGCTACGCCACTGCACGACAGCTATACTCATACGTACACCCTCTCGACCCAGCGAAAGCTCGACTTCCTACATGATTCGAGACAGGCTTTTGGACGGAGCACTCTAGTGCTACAGGGTGGTGCCATGTTCGGATTGTGTCATCTAGGTGTTGTCAAGGCCTTGTTTCTACGAGGTCTACTGCCGCGTATTATTACAGGCACGGCGACCGGTGCGCTCATTGCTAGTCTAGTAGCTATCCATACAGAGGACGAGCTTCCTCGTGTGTTGAGAGGAGACGGCATTGATCTATCAGCCTTCGAGGCACACGAGCAACAAGTGCATAGTGACAAATGCAATTGGGCACCCTTTCTCAGTACTTTGTTGCGTAGGATCGCGAGGTTCTGGCACGAAGGCTACTTTCTCGATGTCAAGGTTCTAGAAGATTGCGTTAGGGACAACCTCGGCGACTTGACGTTTGAGGAAGCATATCACAGGAGTAAGCGCGTCTTAAATATCACCGTGGCTACAGCGGAACAAGAGGGAATTCCCACATTACTGAACTATATTACCGCCCCTAACGTGGTATGTTTCTAAAACCTTGGCCCCTACCTATAAGCCCTTGGCGTGGCTTGAGAGAAAAATTGGATGTGTGTGCTGACGAGGCATTTAAGCTAATTCGGACCGCGGCTGTCGCTTCTAACGCGTCAACTCCGTCACTCTATGGAAGCAGACGGACGACGGTGCTATGCAAAAATGTAGACGGTAAGATTGTACCCTGGGCGCCAGCGAATACCTTCCGTCCGTGGACACATGCATCAGCCAAGGACCGCAAATCGCCGCTGTCGCGTGTCGCTCAGCTCTTCAACGTCAATCACTTCATAGTTAGTCAAGCTCGGCCTTATTTGATTCCCTTCCTCGAATCGGACATGCACGGCCCATCACTCTTCACGGCGCGGCACAAGCGGGCACAGATGACGAGCCACCTGTTCAGGGTGGTCGGACTAGAGATTCGCCACCGGCTACGTCAGCTAGACACACTTGGTCTGCTGCCGACTGGCATCCGCAAGTTCTTGGTAGACGAGGAGGTTCCGTCGGGATCGAGTATGACGCTCGTGCCTAAAGTAACGACACGCGACTTCGTGCGCCTGCTCGACACCCCAACACGCGAGACCCTAGACTACTGGATTCTACGCGGCGAGCGGAGCGTGTGGCCAGCCGTGTGTGCACTAACCGTCAGATGTGCGGTCGAGTACGAAATTGAGAGTGCATATCAGCGCGCGCGTAGCTTGAAAGCCGGGGGTCTAAGGCGAAAGGCGAGCACTGGGGGAGTAGTGCCGCCGGCAGGCCTGGTTGACGCGAGGACAATCGCGCCTGGTGGGTTACCACCCGAAGGAGTTTCACAGAGCGTGGCAGCGAACTAACAACTTCGTGCGCTTCCTGCAGCCACCGTGGTAGAGGAAGAGCACGAGCTAGCTGAGACTTGGGTGCGCAACAGTCTAGTTGACCGAGAAAGCAAGGGAAGGACAGGGAGATCCAAGTCAGCCTTGAGGCCAATGCAGCTGGTTTCCGGTCATCTGAAAACATGCTGGTGGAATACAATATGCGTTCAAGCGGCGCAGGATGGCGGTACCAGAAATAAAGGGGGTTACTCGGGCAGCAGCCTTGGCCGTAGATAAATGAATGAGCAGAAGAAAAACTACGGGAAACGGAAATATAGCGGTATCCATTGGTAGACTAGGTGTTGATTACCCAGCGTGCGTAAGTACGCAGGACCGGAAGGGACCAATAGGATGAGTTCGTTGCGTTTTCGAGATGTACATGTAGCTGCATACCCTCATGCATGGAAACAAGGCCCGATGACTTCGAGAAGCCTGCCGTTTCTGACGTGGCTCGGCCTTGGGAATAGACGTAGGTACGTATGTATGTATATTGCGTACCCCATGTATGTATATGTATGTGTATGTGTGTATGCGCGTAGTGAGTACTTAGGAAAGGGAAGGGGAGAGAAGAACAAGATTGGTGCGAGGTCAAGCAGCCATCTGCCCCAAAGCGGATAGCTAGAAGGCTCAGGTTTCCTGGTCGTGGGCCGCGAATTTTTTTTGCGACGCGCGCCGCACGCCGCACAGGTGCGAGTGAAAGCGGATTGGGTTGCGTGACACAACCCCCGGAACCCAGAGATCGAAGGATGTGGACGTGGTCTCTGCCGCGATATGCTACTGGTCCGCGCAGAGCCTCATGGCATTGTCTTGGA